CGAATCACTAGACTTTCAACTAGGAAATCCGAACAGCTGAAAAATTTTTAGGGGATGAAAATATGCCTATATCTACCGTTTAAAAATGCTATGTTTAAGTGGTTTTGAACTATTAATATTCTCGTCGGGTGCCCCTGGATAATCTCTTGTAGGAGAGTACTGTCTTTACTCTTTTATGATAGTTCGTCGTGAATGAAATCGAACTCCCTGAAAAGGGATTTTTAATCACGAAGGCGGTCATACAGCATGCATTTTTTACAATACGGATATTGTGTTGACGTAACCTATAATTGTAGTAATTATTTGTTGGTTATCTAAATCATGACTTATGATGTGCAATGACCATGAGCCCCGATAGATTTCTCTCTTTTTGCGTTTTTGTAAGCGTCCTTATCATAAAAACTGTATATAGTCACACCTGAATTTTACATGAACAATGAAGAATCCTCAGGTGCCATCGAGATGGTGATTCAGCCTCGTGAGAGTAAATAAATGTGTAAACAGAAACAAAAGAAAGTGCGGAGTTAAGGAGCTCTCAACAGCTGTTATTTTCGCCTTTGATGTTTGTCGGGTTTCATAAGCAGTCTCCTCTTTTGACTATGTCTTCATCATATAATTTTAAACTTAAGATGGATCAAAAAGCCAAATTTCTTTGCAAATGTTAGCTTAATTGTCTTGTCCTCCTCCTTTTCTTAAATCAAAAAGACGCCCTGAAAAAAGATATATTCTCGGACATTTGCCGAAACCTTAGCAATAGCTCAATCATAATCGTCCATTGGAATTCTTTAGAAAAACACTCACTACGTGACTGATGTTTAAATCCGATCAGAGCAGGGTAAAATTTAAATTAGTTCGTTAACGCCTTTTCTTGGAGTGAGACGTATCTTGACCATTATCAGTCATTCAAAATATTTCATTGTTTCAGATTGGCTTTTACCTCCCTAGGCTTAAGTGGGCGATATACAATCCGGATTTAAACACGATTATAGCGGGGCTCCCGCGCGCGCGAAGCGCGCGTGGGACAGAGCCCCATACTCATGGAATATGGTCAACCTCTTTTCGTTTGGTTGTCACGTGATTGACCGAGCGTACGTACGTACGTACGTACGTACATACGTACGTACGCGTCTACAGATTGTACGGGTGGGGTAGGGGAGACTATCAAAAGGAAGGGAGGGGTGTCTCAGGCGTGTCTTGGCAAGTCCACATCTTTAATATAGGATTTTAGGACATTCACAATATGGTCAATTGACAGCTGTCAAAACAGGATAGCCACTGACCAGTATCCCATGACCATATCGCGGGCTCATGTGTCAACTCATCGAGGTGACGTGATTTATTTGGAAGCTGTCCGCTGACCAGTTAATTGTTTTACTAGATCGCGAACAATGTTCAATCTCATACTTTTACTAGTTAAACTGATAATGCACACATATTGGACATCAATGTTTTGATCAATTGACAGCTGTCAAAACAGGGTACCCGCTGACCAGTATCACTTGACCGTATCGCGGGCTCAGGTGTCGACCCATCGAGGTCAAGTATTTTTTTGAAGTTATCCGCTGACAAGTTACTAGTTTTCAAGTGATCGCAGGCTCAAGTTCAATTTTTTTCTAAATTCATATGAAATATGTTGTGTTTATGTGCTACACAATTAAAATTTTGATTGCAAACTGACCTCGGACGCGAAAATTCAGCCAGCTGTTACAGGCAGGGAAGACAGTTGCCTTTGACTTTTCTCACCATGGTCACGCGTTGGTCACGCTCTACGTCCAATTTTTATGCTCTGATTGGTCAAAATTTGACAGGTGAGTTCATGCGGAAAATTTATGCAGCATCTTGAATCTTGTTTACTTTGACAGCTGAAGCTGACAGAGTTTTGTGTCAACTTGTGATGTTTTTAACTGTCTTTTTCCACTGGATGTGCAAAATGAAATTCAGCTGCTATCAGGAGTCTTCTGTTATTCATGGCTAGTTTGTTTATTGGGTTTTTGGTTGAGGAATACGTCGCTTGTCAAAGTCGGAAATCCGATTTCGGATAGCATCGTTTTCGTTTTCACCTTGCTTGATGCGTAAGAGGATTGCAAAGTCTGAAGCGATACTGGCTGTTCTTGATACCTTTCAGGTGCTGCATCTCGAATGGTAAGCCAGAGAAATTATTGTATTTGATGTTTGTTTTTTGTATCTAATTTAATGAAGTCGAGCGGAGTTTATGCGGGCATTTAGTTTATGCACGTTTGTAAGATTTGAGACAATGATCTGACCGAGTATCAGGTTTGATATAAACTTACAGAACTTTAAAAAGCCTTTAGACAGTTTCTCACCGCAAATAGAAAGAAAACGTTCCAAAGAATATTTAGTTATAATTCTGGCCAGAAAAGAAAGCTTTGAGCGATTTTCTTGCCTCGAGTTCGTCTTTGAAAAAAGCAAACACCGGGAAGCCGGCTTAAAACATAAACTTAAGCTTGAAGCTTGAAGACTCAGGATTTTTAGGGACACTTTAATACTTGTCTTCCAGAATGAAAATTGTTGTCTCTGTATATGTTTCACCGAATTATATTTCTTTTATTGATTGTTAGTAGTCTCTGTTGTAATTTTAATCGCTGTGCCGATTGTTTTCAGTCGTTCAGTGAACATCGCTTGCAGGAGTACTCAAAATGCCGCGCGTTAAACCATTAAATAAAAAATAAACATAATAAATTCTTTATAATGTTGGAGCGTAACTCTGTTAATGTTCATTCAAACACTCGCCACAGCTCGCACTACAAAAGTGAGAACCGGATGGCCGTATAGGTGATTTTGGAAATTTTTTTAACAGTTTATGAATGTTGAATGAGTCTAATTTGTATTGTGAAATACTGCTTTCTGTCCGAGGTTTGCCGGTATGATAAAAACAGTGCCTCATACTACTAAATCACACGCACCCAGATTTGTTGACAAGATTTTGCAAAGTAAACTTGTCGAACGCAAAAAAGTTGGCCTGATTTTTTTTTCCACTAATTAATCTACGGTGATCAAGAGCCATTATGGCTCTTAAATGTGATCGAAGATCATTACCAGTTTTTGGGTGTACATATGAGGCTATCAACTCGATGTAAGATTTGGTTCACTCTTGGGCTGCTTGCAAATTATTTTTCTCTAAAATCAGGTAGCCTTTCCCTCAAAAGTCACATAAATGTGCTCTAAAGTTAACTGAATTGTGGGATTCGAATACAAGTTTATTGTTTAATTTAAATTATAAATTTATTAATGGGAGCCTCGCTTTTAGCCCTGGCTAAATCTATATATTATCGGCAATTGGACTTTTCACAATGCTATATTTTTTACGTAAGATCACCAGGAGCGAGAGCTTACTGGTAGGGGAGGCTATCTTGGTTCCATAACCGTCCCCTGCCCCCTAAGTAGATTTGACACTCATCCCCAGGCTAAACTCAAAACATTTGAAACCAAGATGGCGGGCGTAACGCATAGCGCTCGATCTCAAAGACTTACGGAAAAATTGGGAACGTGTTCTTAAGAAAAAATGGGCATTGGCTTTCTGCGTTGGTCAAGTTACTTTTATAACTATATCTTAAAGTTACAGTTTTTAACTGGCTTTTCAATTTTATTATATTCAAACAAGATCTAACATTGTTCTAAATAATAAAAACAAATGATTCATGACGTTCATGTTTTTCATCCCAATCCCAGTAAAAAAAAAGCGAAAAAAAGAAAATTAAAATCGGAACTTTTTGCTTTGATTACTAAATAACTACCTTCATTAATTTATCTCAATAACATTTTCAGGTTAAACTACTAATCGCGGGGCGAGCACTGAAAAGCCTGTGAGTTAAGATATCTACATGGATAACTCAAGCCACTTTGGAGACAAGCCTTGCTCTCAGGTGGTTTCTATTGTCTTCACAACAGTGTTGGCTATAATCAGTTTGGCTGCGTTTATTGGCAACATTTTAGTGATGACGGTGGTTTACAAGACCCCAAGCCTTAGAACAAGCACCAACTACTATTACGTTAACATGGCGGTGTCAGATTTCCTTTCTAGTCTTACATTATGGCCACTGTACCTCACTGACGAGATAATAACACAGCAAGGAAGCCTGATTAAAGGCCCAATGGCCACTGTCGGGTGTAAAGTTGGGGTGTACGTGAGGGTAGTCTCCACCTCAGTCTCTATTCTCAGTTTGGTGTTGATTGCAACCGACAGATACTTTGCGATTGTATTTCCCTTAAAAGCTTCAATTCTACTGTCACGAAGAGTAAGAATAACCGCGCTAGTAGCAACGTGGGTAATATCGATGGGCTATTGCTTCCCTATGATATATTTCTCTAAAGTGGAAGACGTAGGAGAAGAGCGTTTCTGCAGATTTGCATGGAACGATACTCGTGCTCTTATAATCTATTACGTCAGTGGAATTTCTGTGTTTAATGTTGCGCCTCTAATTGCGATTGTGATTTTGTATTCTCGTATTATGCAAGCATTAAGAAAAAAAATTAATTCAGGACCCCTTTCTGGAAACACAAATTCAGAAGACAAAAGATGCAAGCAATTGCAACACATTATGAAAATATTCAAATCAATTGTGATAGCCTATTCTGCTTGCTTTTTTCTATTTTGCGTTTATTTGATTTTAAAGATGACTTTCCCTGAAATTTTCATCAAGGATAAATGTAAGTGGATTCTTGGCTTTTCCTATTTTGTTCTTCCGTTGCTCAGCACAGCAATGAACCCAGTCATTCTTTTCTGTTTTAGTTCCAATTTCCGTCACGCCTTGCAAACTTTGTGGCCATTTCGGCGAACCAGTTTCTGTTGTTCATGTTTTAAGGGAAGAAAGGCAGAAGACCCAATAAGACAAAACGAACACGTGGAACTACAGTCCATATAAGGGCGCGCGTGATAGCCCGTACTGTCCAATTACTCGGGCATAACGCGTACTGTCCTATTAAATTGTCCTATTAAGGCTGAAATCAGGACAGTTGATAGCCAATCAGATTTGAGAATTTTATTATAGCTATAATTAGCAATTTGATGAGGCTGAGTCTGATCTAGCCTGCGTCGCAGACGTATTTATCCTCGGTTTATAGTAACCCCTGCGAAGCACCGCTGATATTAGCCTTGTTCTGGGTATCAACCGACTTAACGAATTAGCGGAAGTGCGTTTCGGATTTCCTTTCATGTTGATTGGCAAATCGACAATGTCTTTTTTAACAGGTCAATCAAGGCGCGTACTCAAATCCTGGTACGCAGGTGGGAACCTAGAACAAGGATTTTGGCGTGCTTCTTCGCAGACGGACTAAACCAGAGGTTAGTTATATTTAACCAGAAGGGACCAAAAAGTTAGAAAAGAGGCCAAAAAGGAAAGCGCAGAGGCAGACAACTCTTTTTAGATATATGCATAATTCTTCAGCTAAAACGAAAGCCGAATCCAAGTATTGTTTTATGAGTCCTCTAAAATATATACTGTAGTAATACACTGTCAAGTATGTGGGATGAAGTAGTTTGCCGGCGCAAACAACGTTCCAACAGAGGATCGAACTTCCCCAAATTCCTGGATCCGCCAAGGGTTTCTTCCCTCCACATATGCATTAAACCGTTGAAAAACCCTCTTTAATTCAGGGATAAACTTGTTTTTATATTATTGGGAATAGCTTTCATATTTAATTCTATCTTTAAAGCATTTCCATCTTTATTTGCGATCGTTATCATCCTCGTGTACCGAGCGCAACGTAGAAGAAGGAAATATTAAAAAAGGAAGTCATTTGAATTTCTCTTTGTGAAGAGTAGCTAGAACTGAGTTAATTACGTCATTCAACTGGACGTTACAGAAGATGCATAATGTTCGTCGGTAGTATATTGAAAGTAATTGAAATAAAAAGAAAAATTGACGTTTTGATAATCACAAATTAATTACAAAGGGAGCAAATATCTCGGCAATAGTCTGATCTTTTCATAGCATTAGCACGATTATGAAGGCCTTACGTTTCGTATTACTAGTAATAATCATTGACTGTGGATCTGCGTTCGTCTTCGGTCTTATTCTCTTGCCTGTTGGATTCGGGCGAAATGGGAAAAGTGAGAGGGGAGGAGAAGGGAGGGGAGGAGAAGAGGAAATAAAATTTTTTGAAGGTGTTGTTTTTGTTGCGAGTGCCATTCAAATGCATGAAATTCGAAGTAATTTAATCGTATTTACTAATTGGTGGCTTGAGAAGCCAAGCGTTAAACTCGAAAACGGATGATTATGGGCTAAACAAAAACTGCACGCGGTCAGCAAGCTAGAAAAAACAGTTATGTAATATTTTAATCTATACTGAACGTTTTCCACCGACTCGAATTAATTAAATGTTGAATAGTCTAAAAAACGCTGGTTCAGAGAGTGTTTTTTTGTATATAGACGACGTATTACGTAACACATGCGTTTCAACAGTACCTCTGGCTCAATGACTGTGACGTACGTATTCGCTTAATATTCAAATAAGAATTGTCCCCTCCCATTGCTTTCTTATCAATCACACAGACAGTATATCTGAAATGCGACAAGCTTCTGTTTCTTGTATGTAATATATATGAGTAACTGAGCCCAGGTGAGTTTGGTGTATTCCACTTGGTCTATTTCCTGTAGTACGCAGTAATATTATCGATGTTAAAAATGCTGCTTGATCATTTTAAGACATTGCATTTTTTAAAGGTGGCGCAGGGTGCCTCCAGGTCAATTTGGTTTAATGCAGAACACGCCGGAAATAAATCCATGACCCCATTGACACGGGTCCGGAAAAATTTTTGAACGAACTATTTTTTTCCTGTCATACTATCCGTTTATACGAAGCCGTGCAAATTCTGTTACAGATTGCTGTACTAAACACACTTTTTGCCGTTCAAAAACTTGCACGGTCCCGCGGGTCGGTGTGTTAACGAAAGGTGGATCCGTGCAGGTTTTTGTCCGTTCAATACTTTTTCCAGTCTTGTGTAAACGGGATCTAAGGCTCCTTGAAGTGGTGGACTGGTCGAAGCCGGTGTCGAACTACTACGGCAAAGCGCTGAACAGCACAACTTATTTGAAAGAGCCTGGAGAGCTCTGCTGTGATACACGGTAGAACAATTGAGTTGGTAAAAGCGTGGAGATGTTTTTTTGTGGAAGTAATCTATAAAATTTATTTTATCATAGTTCGATTTTATCTAGTAGAACCTCTCTGTCAGGCTACTGGTGAATTGATTTTACAGGTGTAGATCGACTTTCGTGGGATTTTATATCACGAAGGCAGTCATGCAATAAATGTGTTTTTAAAATGCAGATATTGTGTTCAATCCACATGTAACCTATACTCGATTATAGATCATAGATATGAATGTGCACTGACTATGAAGCCCGATACTAAGATAATTCTCTCCTTTTAACTGTTTTTGTTATCCGTTTTCTTCCTGATCGTACATAGGCCATGTCTAAACGAGTCCAGACACTTTTGGAACAGAATATTTTTTGTCCGGATTTGTGTGGACGTGGGACGGTTAAATCTCTCTGGAGAGAGAGGTTTAAAAAATGCGGTTTCGGTATCCGAATTCACTGGTTTCGTGTGGACGGAGGGCCGATCCGTGAAAAAAACTATGCAGTTTAACAAATATCCTAATTCGTGTGAACATGGCCTTACCGTACAGTCACGCCTGATTTCTACATGACCATTTGAACCCTTTGCCACTGCAATGGTGATTCAGGGATAACGTGTAAACAAACAAAAGCAAAAGAAACAAACAAAACATTATGCAGAGTCAAGGAGCTTCCAACAGCTGTTCGCAATTGAATTTTTGCCGGCTTTTATAAATAGTGTCCTTCATAACGTTGAATGTGTAGCCTGAGATTAATCGATTTAAAACCCAAGATAGATAAAAAAAAGCCAAACGGCTTTGAAAATTTTAACTCCTAACCAGAAGCCCATAACCCGGAGCGAGAAACTTCCATGCGTTCATGACACGGCGTTTTCACGGACCAGTTTATTTTTAGAACGGTTTTGGCGCGAATTTTGAATATCTTTTAAATTCCACAAACCAGTCAGCAAAACCTACAGACATTAAAATAATTATATTTTTTGCCTTTTAATAACGTTTAGTTTCCTTTTTGATATCTTATACTTCGAATGCGCTCATAGACATCGTGGGGATTCTATTTTCATGGGAAAAAGTGCCCAAAAATGTGTCTAAAGATAAACTGGTTCATAAAAGGGCCGTGACATAGGCCTAGTATGGGAGTTGCTCGCTCCGGGTTATGGGCTCCTGTCCTAACTGACTTGCTAATGGTTTTAAAAATGGAGCATTATCCAAACCCCAACGGCAATGAAACGTTTCAGATTCTTGGAAAACACTACGTGATGTTCAAATTCGGTCCAGGGAACCCCAACTAATTGAGCTGGATAAAATTTAAATTAGGACGTCAGCACTTCGTGGAGAGAGATATTGACCACTATCATTTATTGAGACGTCGGCGAAGAATTTTTTAAGACGTCGGCGAAGAGCGTTTCTGCAGATTTGCATGAAACGGTACTGTTACTTTAATAATCTATTACGTTAGTGGAATTACTATGATTAATGTTGTACCTCGAATTGTGATTGTGATTTTGTATTCTCGTTTTATGGAAACATTAAGCAAAAAAATCAATTCAAGACCCCTTTTTGGAAGCATAAATTCAGAAGGGAAAAGAAACAAGGAATTCAAATCAATTGTAATAGCGTATACTGCTTGCTTTTTTCTTCTTTGCGTTTATTTGATTCCGAGCGAAACTCGGCGCGAAGCGCCGAAAGCGTAGCGACTTTACAATCTCGTCGCGCGCGAAGCGCTCGCAGTCTGCTAACCGCGCGTGGTCTTAACCAGCTGCGAAATTCCAGGCGCCATAAATAAATAAATAAATAAATCTTTCTTTCTCTGAATATATGCTTGGTATCCGCCAATGACGTCATCGAGCATTTTGCGTTTCCAGGCAACATAGACTTTGCCGCCGATGACCAAGGCGCATTTTCATGTATTATTTATGAAAGGCTATTGTGTTTATTCATCGTCTGTGAAACAATGTTTACGATCGGTGAATCACGAACCATTTCCAATGCAATTGACACACAAGCACGACAAGTGGCTCCAAATCCTCGGCGAGGGAGATTTTCCACCGAAACTCCTCTGGAGCGAGAACGCCGACTTGAAATTAAGCGTGAACAACGAAGGAGAAGAAGTCAACGAGAAACCGCGGAGCAGAGAGAACATCGCTTAGCACAGCGAAGGCAACGCCGACAACAAGAGACAGAGGAACAGAGGAACAGGAGACTGGAATATCGATCAGAGGCATTATGATCAAGGTAAGCGTACATTAGATTTAAACACTGTTAGTAATTTATGTAATTCGGGGCCATTAAGTAATGAAACCGCCGAACAACGAGAGCGTCGCTTGCAAGGACTTCGAACAGCTCAGGCGCGGCGACTGGCAAATGAATCTGACCAGCAACGAAATCAGCGTTTACAAACGCTTCGCCAAAATAACGCCAATAGAATTCGCAACGAAACCAACCAGGGAAGGGAACATCGACTACAAACGGATCGACAATATGCCGCCATTAGAATTCAGAACGAGACTGATGAGAACAGGGAACATCGACTACAGCAGCAACGACAGAATAACGCCATTAGAATTCACAACGAGACTGATGAGGAAAGGCAACTACGACTACAGCGGCTCCGACAGAATAACGAAATCAGAATTCACAACGAAACTGATGAGCAAACGCAACAGCGACTACAGCGGCTCCGACAGAATAACGAGATCAGAATTCACAACGAAACTGATGAGGAAAGGCAACAGCGACTACAGCGGCTCCGACAGAATAACGAGATTAGAATTCAGAGCGAAACCGATCAGGAAAGACGACGCCGATTGGAAATTTACAGACAAAATGATGCTGTTCGACGCAACGACAGGCAGCAAGAATTACACGATCTGCAAAATACTCGTGAGCAATATCTTTCCAACGGATGGACGACAGGAGAGCAACCTTTACACCAGCAACAATGGGTTCAGAATGAGATGACCAAATTTCACAGTAGTATTAACACTTTAGAACACCGACAATGTGTCACATGCAAGGAAGCTTGGCCTACAAAACAGGGTGTAACTCTTGCAAGGTTTGAATGTTTAAGGTGTAAACGAGATAAGGGAAACCCTAAATTATACTCCCAAGAAAATGATATGGATCCAGGTGCTTTACCACTACATCTTCAAGGCCTAACTGATATTGAGGAAATGTTAATTGCTAGAGCTTACCCAATTATGTGCGTATATCGTAAACATGGGGGTCAACGGGTTACAGAGGGCATGTTTTAAATCTTCCCCAAGACATTCAGGGTTTTCTTAACAGGCTTCCACGTAATATTGCACACCTCCCTTATCTCATAATTCGAAAGCATGGAACGGACAACACACACAGGGATTGTACAGTCAGAAGAGAGAAAGTACTGCAGGCTATAATGTGGCTTCAAGCAAACAATCCTTTTTATGCTGATGTTGCTATTGACTATGAATCACTTCAGCGCTTGCCGGAGGATGGGGTACCAGATGATCTTCCAACAGTGGAGGATCCAGAGTCAAATGAAGAGCAAGATGCCAAACAAGAAGATGCAGAAAATCACATTCCACACCAGAGTCATTCATTCCTTCCACTTCCACAGCGACAACAAACTGAACAGGATGCAATACGCGCATTAATTAATGGTGTGGATCCACTAGACTGGCCAGCTAATGATGGAGATCCTATCAATGAATTTCGGACAGAGGGCTTGGCTTCCATGGCATTTCCAACGCTTTTTCCTTATGGTAAAGGGGACCCAACCAAGCGTACACGCCTTCGTGAAGTTTCCTCAACAGACGGTTTCAAACACCTCATTAAGTATGCAGACCTTTCAACTGATGGAATGTTTACTTGGCGATTTGCATCACACCCTCGATTTCCATATTGGGCATGAAACATGAAACAGCGCCATCAATTATTGTCACAAGCTCGCATTTACCTTACTCAGAATCCAGAAGATGCCAACTTAACGACCGAGGAACTTCGACAAATGGTAGGTCAAATGACTGCAAACCACCTCATGAATCGTCTCCAGCCTTACGTTGCTAAAATACAGGGGACAAAGCAGTACTGGTATCAGCGTTACCAGGTACTTAAGGCATTAATCACGCAGAAAGGAGCACCCACTTTCTTTTTTACTTTCAGTGCTGCTGATAACTATTGGCCAGATTTACACAGACTTCTTCAATAGCCAAACAATGCAGTTCCTTCTGTTCGAATTCGGGCTGTCATTGATAATCCTCACATCACAGATGCTTTCTTTGTTTCACGGTTAAATGAATTTTGTTCTCATTGGCTGGATCGTGTAATGGATGCAAAATGGAAATGGCTTCGCTTTGAGTGGCAGGCTTGAGGCAGTATTCATGCGCACGGGTGTGCAGAGCCTTCCAATGACCTAGGCCTTTGCAGCCTTGTGAAGACAGCCGCACAGGGATGGAAGCTCGAACAAATTTTACGCTGTCATGAACAAAATCCAAGTTTTCACCAGATGTCCAACGACTTCCAACCTCAAATAGAAGCAGGACATCAAGCACAAGAAACTGTAAAAGCGTATGCTAATTGGCTGGTCACAACTATCAATGACGCACTTCCACAGGACAATTGGACCATTCCCTCACCGCATCCATCTGCAATATCAATTGGCAATGTAGACAATTTAGATAGAGACTATGAAGCCCTTGTTAATTCTGTAGAACGCCATACAAAATGTAGCACAGCATACTGCATTAAAATTAAACCCGGTCAGCAGCCAACATGCCGATTTAATTTCCCAAAAGACTGTCAGGATGAAACTATTATTGACTTTCAGCTCATAACAAAAGCTGGTAGCGATGACCATGAATTAACAGTTGAGCAAATCACCCAAGCACAAGTGAAAGCAACACTTACCACAAAGCGAAATGATGGACGCATCAACTCCCACAACCGTGTTATGTTACAACACTGGAGAGCCAATGTAGATCTTCAAGCCATTGTTGACATTGACCAGTGCATCCGGTACATGGCAAAATACGCAACAAAAGGTGAACCTCGATCACAGTCCGCATCTGAAATACTCACTGCATGTGTTAATAGACTCAATAATATAGACATCGCTTCATCTGCACTGCGAAGAGCAATGATTCAAGTAGCTGGAGAACGTGACATAGGATCTCAAGAAACTGCACATATGCTTCTTGGAAAACCATTGTATTCTTGCACCTATTCCTTTCTCTGTGTCTCATTGGATGGAAGTCGTAGAGTTCGTACAGGAGATGAAGGTGATGAAAACCAAGGCGATCAAGCATTAGACCCATCAGTACTTGACCATTATGCTACTCGAGCTAACTGGCAAGAAAATAACCCCGAAATTCTTAACCTTAATCTTCTACAATTTGCCTCTGCTTACTTTGTCACTAAGGGAGAG